AGAATATATAGCTAACTTGACATACAAAACAAAAATACACACTAAAATTCATTGTGTGGATACACGAAAAATGATCCGCTCCTTTCACCCGCAGCTCCTCTACACCCAGAGCCACTTGGTGTATTTCAATAAACAGCACTGGGGCACTGGTAACAAGGAATCTTTGTCACTGGTATGTCCTAAATTCAGCACTGACCTTTTCTTTATGCTCAAAATTCAATCCATTTCCTAATTCTGATCTCTACAACTGTAAATATCTTAATTTTTCCCTTTTATTGTCTTTATCATTGTCATTTCTTAGTAACTATTTTAATATAATGTTGCATCTTGGGTTCAAATTCAACTGTTACTTAAATAGACATGTAAGTTTGAGTCATTTAAGTTTTCTTAGTCTTTAGCTTTCTCACTTCGGGATTATTCATAGATCTTAATGAAAATCTTATAGGTACATAGTTACATAGGTAACTACTCAATGATGATATGAACATATCATGATGATGATATGAACATACTAAATTTATGCTAAAATCCACCTGAACTAGGATTTTATCATTGAAATACACACACACACACACACACACACACACACACACACACACACACACACACACACACACACACACACACCAGTTGGTATTTGCATTAGAAATGTAAATTTTTAGATTTAATCAAAATACTCAACAGCAGGAAAATGGTTAAATAAATTATGATGCATTTATAACACAGAAGTGGCATTTAGGAAATGATAATAGAAAACAATCCTTTCTTTATACCTCTATGACCATAAGTAATTGACTTTCTAAAGACTGATTACTAAAGATCATACTACTATCTAGTGGAGTTAGTCTTATCTTTACCTTCCAGTATGGACCAAAAGCATAGTCCCATAAAAATGTGAACTATCACAATATGAAAAAACGCCATTTTCCCTTCTCATCTCAGTTTTCCTTTAAATATAGATTCTTTTCCTTTATTTTCTATTACTCATTAGGTTGGTCTTCTGCACCTAACCCTTCTCTGAAACTGTTTCAATGGACAAAACCTATAATACCTCTTCAGTATCTGTCCAGCTTAGGAGTCATCTTCACCTACATGGACATTATTAACACTATTTGCTCTAGCAAACAATGCTGTGGTTTCCTCTTCCATTTGTCCTTTCCTTTCTTGTCTTCTACTTGCCTCTTCCTTGATGTAATGCCCCATGGATGTTCCTCCCTTTTTTTTTTTTTGTTGGTTGTGGGGCTTGAACTCTGGGCCTGGGCGTTGTCCATGCACTCTTCAGCTCAAGGCAAGCGCTCTACCGCTTGAGCCATAGCACCACTTCCAGGATGTTCCTCCTTAACTGTCTCTTTGCTCCACATTATTTTATGGGTCTCAACCCACGTTTTGAATGGTCATTTATCCTATATAGCAGTGACTATAATTCACTTCCTGTTTTCAGCCCTAGACTCCATATTGCTATGGAAGATCAGACATAGGATTAAAATAATATCAACAATGTCAACTTGGCTATTGAGAGGCTATATTTAACTTCTCTCAGGTAAAACAGATCAAGAGAGTAACAGTTACCAATCTCACGTCCTTAACAACCTTGTCACCCCCTAGCCTTCCAACTCTACTTAATGACCATGTACCAATGAGTCTATTCTAATTCTATATATTTCTCTACATTCACAAAATTCTACTTTGGAGAAGAGGTTCATTTTATATGGCTTTGACTGTTGTAACAAGGTCCTAAATGGCTTCTTTAAATCAGTCTCTCCTAATTCAAAGACTTCTTAGACGCGTTTTTTTATAATAATCCAGAAATAAGCCAAAAATTTCCCCTGTAACTCCCTACATAAAGGTCTCATAAGTTCATCACTAGGTTAAAGGACAAAGCCTGTAGCTCCTGGGTTGGCTCACTGTCACATATGGGTGGCACTGTGTCTCCACCTTCATGTCTTAGGTGCTTCCTCTGCTGGGAAGAAGCCATTCTGACAAACTATAATAGGCCCCAAACAAGACCCATTATTTTGCTTCCATGCACTCTTATTTCATGTTCTCTTTGATTTGGAATGTTAGTCCATTTGCTTCACCTAATAAACTCCTAGTCATCCATCAAAAACTTTGTGGTGTTTTTTTGATGTTTTACAACCAATTCAGGGCCTTGTTCTTTCAGAGTCCGTTGTAATGTTTCCCACTTTATGAGACCTTCTGGTCTCCCTTTTCCCAAACGAATGTAAGCTAGTTAGAGAGAGCAGCCACATACAGTGAATTGTGTGTTCTTAATAAATATTTGAAACCCTGGGGGAAGGGAAGGTAAGTGACTATAAACTGCAAGGTCAGAGATCATATTTATACTTTGTTGGCCACACAGACAGTATTCAATATTTGCAAGTGAAAGAAGGGTAAGAAGGATGGTAGAGAAGGAATAATTCATCTTCTATTCTCACAAGTGAGCAAGATTCACAGACCCTCTCAAAATAAAATACAGAAGACATCATATCTTTGCAGAATATTGAGATATTGTTGAACATAGTATAGACATGACCCTGTTGGCACACAGATTTCCTTGCTAATTGAGCAAGACAACCAATTAGAAAGTTGTTCTTAGTACTATTCTTAATCCCTCCTCTCTACATGGTCTTACTTAAAACAATTAAAAAGATTGTACTACACAGTTCAATGTAGAGTCCTATGTTGTTCTTCTATTCCAAGTCCACTGATGCTAAAGTAAAACAATAAATGAGTTCTGTTTCGATGGCATTTTCAGGGTTCCTTAGCTCAATAATGCTGGAATGCCTTACTTGCTTGCAAGTGTTTCTACAAGCCACCTACATGTTCTTCTAAAGCCAACAGCTTTAACATATTCCAAATGCGTCAGGTATAGTTGGGAGATTTCTTGTATGAAAGTGATTTCTTCTTTCTTCAACTTGTACCCATTTCTCTTTTTCCCCCTATACTCTGAAGCCAAACAGAATTATTCATTAAAAAATTTAAATAAGGTCTTCAAATTCATAGAAAGGGCATTTTTCCCCCTTTACGTCATCTGTTTTCCAAACTGAACTTCCCTAGACTCTTCACCATTTTTCATGGACCATGATTTCTAGTACATGCCAGCTTCATTCTCTTCCTCCAAATAATATACAGCTGCCTAGGTTTCTCTGGAAAAGGACACCGTGCTCAGCCCAGAATGGAGAAGAGTCACCAGTCTCTTTTTAGATCCTCAATTCTCTCAATGAAGCTTAATTATTGAATGGGGAATTAATACAGTTTACATTAGATTTTATAATGAGCTGTATTTAATTCAAACTTAGTTTTCTGTTAGTTTTAAATTCATGTGATTCCTAAGTCTCTCTGTCTACATATGAGATTTAGAGACAGGAAGAATAGAGACTAAGAATCCAGTGCTACTCTGAATCATTTCTCTCATTGACTAATTCTCAGGCACTGTCTACTTCAGAATATCAACAGGAATTGTTTTGAGTCATATCAGAATCTGACAATGTATCTGTAGTGGACCTACAAAGTTTATCATGGAGATTCTGAACACAGTATGTACGGGCACAGACATACAATTTTAAGATATGGAAACAAACATGTTCCTGTTTGTATCTTTAAAGATAATTCTAGGTTAGTACACAGTTAATTTTAAAATTATCAGTCAGAGAATGGCATCTGTCTCTCAAGGTAGGTTTCAAGAAATATCAGTCTATGAGGTATCAACAGATAGTAACAGGAAAATGAGAAGTACAGAATAAACAAAAATAAAGACATCTGAAGTTATTGAATTTGCTCATTTGAATTATGATTTCTCAGATCATATGTAACATCAAAATCATCTAAGAAGGTTGCTGAGAATTGCACATTCTTGTACTTGACCTTCAGATTCTTATTTGACAAATCCAGGCTCAGGCCCAAGAACATATCTCTTGAACAAGTGTCAGCTGTTAATCTACCAGCTTCTTGGAATACTTATTGAGACTTGACTATGAGCCTTTTTTTTTTAATTCCAGGAAGAAATGAAACCATTTCCCAGTATACATATTTTAGGAAATGGTAAGTTAACTTCAATTCTACTTTTGACTATCTAAAAAATGGAAAGCAACATTGACAAGCACTTTTTAAAAATTCTTAATGGATAGAAATCTGGAGTTTGTTTTGCTATGAAGTTTATGCAAGAAAAACATAACCACCTTTTCTAAAATAGAAATTTACCTACATATCCTGAACATACCTGCTTTTAAACCTGAAATTTTATGTGAAATACCTTCTGCAGTTGAAAGAATGCCTAGGCATGGCCATGTTTATCCAGGAAGAACAATGTAGAACAATCAATTACCCAAGGAGCTAGATAGAGGTGTTGAAGTGCTTAAATAGTCTTACAAGAAATATTTTAATTGAGAGGTGAATCTTCTTTAGGGCTAAGGACTACATTTTCATCCAGCAACCTTCTCACTCATTTGTCAAATTAACTGCCAAATCAACTATTATTAATAAAGCCTTCATTACTTAAAAATAGACTCAGAAATTTTCACCTTCAGACATTTCAAATTTGGGGAGGCAAACAGGAGGTTTGGAAAGAAGCATTTCACAAATACAAACTCAAGCAAAGGACTGAAGTTCAGCAACACATAAAAATGTCACAGTACTTTCACAACAAAACTCTGCTCTTCCCAAAACAATACAGAGCTCTGAAGACACACACAGATCTACTGACAAATACAGCACGCACACAATCACTCTGGGAACAGCCAGTTACTGCACATAGCGCATCAACTAAAGAGTGCAATTCATCTAAATTATTACAGCACAAATAATACTTGCCCTCCCTTTCTCATTAATATTCTCTCAAGGGATGGCTTTCTAAAAAGAAAAAAAAACAAATTCATAAGAATTTTTAGGTTCTAAGATAAAACAACCAAAAAGACATTATCTGAAAGTAATAACATTTAAATAAGAGTAAATATATGGAATTTTTAATGGAAAAAGCAAGATTTTTTTTCTTGTAAAGGTACCTGCAAAATGTGACTTCCCAAATGTGCTTCAAATACTTCAATGGCTAGCGCGCTGGGACTCCTTCTTCGTTGTGCACCTATAACTTAAAAGAAAAAAAGAAGAGAGAGAGAGAAAAGAAAAATAATTAAGTTGGAGCTCTCCCTTCATACTTACAACTTAATTTCTCTCTAACTGCATCTCTTCTTAGTTAAGCTATCAAGGAGAACCAAATGAAACACCACTCAGTATGAATTTTCATCTGACATTATTTTTTCTAAAATTAAATCATTGGTATATTTTAATTATCTATAGACTGCCTATTCTTCCCAGGGAAACCTCAACTTTCCATAGTCTCTAATCTAGAAAAAAACAAACAGGGTATTTCTTGTATTTTCTAACGGAATAGTTTTATCATAGTCTAATAAGAATTTATCTGATAAATTCTTATTTTCACTAGTGTTCCAAGGAGGCTGAATTCCATATTTTTCTGAGTATTTATGGCTAAATATTCTATAGGACCCAAAAGTACCTCAGATGGTCAGCATCTGCTCTCTAGGTAGAGACTACTGCTCCACTAAGAAAGGGTCAGCTCTTTTTCCCTACAACATCCCAAAACCTTTGTCAGCAGGCACCTGTCACTCAAGAAGCCCCTACAACACAGCAAAACTAGCCTTAAGATGTGGCATTTGTGGAATACAGAATGGAGGGTCCTCTCCATTAGCACATAAAGTGCCAATTTGATTTTTAATCTTTTCTATTGGGTATTTTTTCTTTAAGTTCTCAAGCATCATAACAATCTATTTGCTTCGCAGTGATTTATGACAGGAAGTATTTTGAGCTTTTTTATTTCCAACAAATAAATTTGTCACATCCTCCCAATTTTCTTGAAAATGTTAATATAAACCTCTTCTCCTTCAAGTCTAGATACTATTAATTGGTAATAAAATAAACAATACCCTACTTTCCTTACTGCAAAAACCATTTTCAGCTAGTTGATGAAAAAATTCCAGCAACATGCTGTTGGGAGAATTTTGTTTTGTTTCAGTTATAAGTTGGTCAGCTGCATCCTTAGCTTACCACGATTATACAAAAACTCACTTATGAACATGGTGCTGTGAAAAAGTAGGGATCTGACCGCATAGAGAAGCAATGTTTACAATGTCTGAAAGGCATTTTGAAAATAGTATGAATGTTAAATATCATTACTACTGCTGAGAGAAAATAGAACAGGTATTTTTTTAATGGGAAAATATAGAAAATATAAATGAAAGGGGTTATTATTAAGGAATATTCCAGTTAAAAGAGAGTAGAGATAACTACTTCTATATTCTCACTTGCTTCTGAACATCCAACTAATAATTTTAAACCAAAAAAATCAAGACTTTTTAAATACTGTGATTCATCTTTATTATAAGTACAGACATCGGATTTAAATTTTTTTCATATCCAGATATATTTAAGACAGCATTACTTGTATGTGTGGGTGCATGCGTTTCTGATTAATTTCCTATTCTAACATGCACATTACTCCCTTCAAAACTCCTTTGGCATTTTTGATAATGCAGCTGTCTTGCTGAATACTGTTTTCAGTTTCTAGAGTGTTAATTGCACATTATGGTAGCTTGGTGTGAATGATCCCACATGAATAAAATCTGCGGGTTTTTTTTTTTTTAAGATTATGGGGGTGGATGGCTTTGGGGAGGGAAAAGAGAAGAGCTAAAAACTTCTAAAGTGTCCATTCTCTTTTTTTAAGTCAGAAAATTAGGAATCAGAAATATCCTCATTAGTTCATAATTTGAGGGATGCTTCACGACTTTCAACTACAAAGCTCATAAACTATTCCACCTCATTAAAAAATGGATTAAGTTTAGATCTTGGTGAACATAAACTATTCTACAAGGAACTGGGTTTAGAGGAAACCAAGAGCTGGCTGTTGGGGGCTCAAGTCTGTGATTCTAGCTTCTTGCTGAGAGCAGGAAGATTGCAGTTAGACACCAGCCTGAGCAGAAAAGATTGTGAGATTCTATCTCAAATAGAGTGCCAGCCTAACAAGTGTTAAAAATCCAGTTCATATCCCCGAGATATAGATACTAGAATTTGAATTCTAGTAGGGAAAAGAAAAAAGAAAAAAATGAGAAGCCAAGAGAGCACTGCCACCAACTATAGAAAACCCTAAAACAACATAGAAAATGTAAGCAAGCATTTATTTACTAGAAGGCCCAGGAGGCAAGCTCTTCCTAGAAGTGCAGAAATAGTTGTTCTCAGAAATATATAGGGTATAGTCAAGTCTGGCTATTGCTGATCTTTCATTTTCTGTCTTGTCCCCATTAGGGGTCAGGCTGATCCTCAAATAAATGTCTTCATCAGGTCTTGTATCCATAAGTTGTACCTGAATAGTTCTTTGTTCCTCACAGTCCCTAGAAACTAGGGAATGCATCCTCATACATGCTAGCATAATAAACAAGTATCTTGTAAGTAGTTTCATGCTTTTCTACTCAATGGCATTTTTATGGCACTGGAACTTCTTTTGATTTATATGTTTTGCACTTATGCAGGTGATGTGGGGCGGTAATGACAGTTCCTAATTTTACAACCAACATAAATATGTAAAACAGGAACCCATTATGCCCCTGGTAGGAGCCCCGTGTTAACTCTAGTATTATTGGTATCTGAGTAGATGTTAAATACTGACTTTTTATCCTGTACTTATCCTATCATTCTTGGCATTTGGAGAATCAACATACTGATAACTCAGGAAACACACAATGGAAACAGTTATTTCATTTCTCTGTGATAATCCTACTGTTTACAGAGTGTCATTACTGCTTAAAGAAGAGCTAAAGGGCATTTCCCCAATGAAGTCCATCATCCTTAGAGAAGTAATGTGGTTTATGAAGCTCTCCTATATTTCTCTATTTTGGAAACTGACATTTCTGAAACCATGAGTAACCTAAACACAAAATAGATACTTAGTACTACTGAACAGTCATGGTTTCATATCACCTGCTGACCTACTTCCTCATTATCTGTTTATTCAATTAGGAGGCTTCTTTTTATTACATTTAAAGAACACCAAATTAATGAACTATATAAACAGGAAATTGATAAATAAATGGAATATGTAATTCTTTGTCTGTGAAGATTATGTTACTTCCTCACAGACAATAAATGCGAGAGCTGTGTAATTTGTATAGTTGATACAAACTGGTAAAAGAAAAAAAAAAACAAACCATTATAACCCTACCTGAAATTCCATTCAACATTTGCTGAGTGCCTATTTGATGTCGAAAATCTTTAGCTATTTTATGGCAGCTAATGTTATGAAACTGTTTATTTAACATTCCAGAAACGGTCAGACAAGTTGATGTTAGGCAAAATGAACCCCAAGAGAAGGACTCAAATGTTTTTTTTCTTTCTTGCTATTGTTTCTAACATATTTATGATTTCTTTGTTGCTTTGTGTGTCCCTCCCCCACAGTATCACCCCTGCTTTCACTGTATTTGATGTTGGTATAATTTGGGGAGGGGAAGGGAAAAAACAAATTGTTTAAATAGGGATACAAGTGGACCCATTGCAACAATGAGATGTACAAGATGTTATGTCGAAAAACGAGCTTTACAACTTTGGCATGGGGGGTGGTGGGAGGGGTTGGGGGGAGGATGGGAAGGGATGGGAAGGGGAAACAAAGGAGGAGGCAACAATGTTTGATAAGAAATGTACTCATTACCTTGCTCATGTAATTGTAACCCCTCTGTATGGTATTTTCACAATTAAAAAAATTAAAGGAAAAAAAAGAAAATGAAAAAAAAGAAAATCTTAAGCAATTTAAATAAAACTAGGCCTCTAATGTAATTATCATCAACAAACACCAAAACCACAATCTTAGTACTCAAAATTCATAGAGGTTAAAAATAAAGCACCTAGGGTTTTAAGAGAGTTTACATGGGAGAAATACACCAGAAGAGGATTTTGTTGTTTTCTTTTTAAAAAGCAAGGAGGCTTGTGGGGAAGGAATAGAGGGGGAAGCTGGGAGAAAGTAAAAGAAAGGGTGATATTGTCCCAAAAGAAATGTACTCATTACCTCATGTATGAAATGGTAAGCCCTCTGTACAATGCCTTCCTAACAATAAAGTTATATGTTTTTTAAAAAGCAAATAGGAAAACTGATCATCTTTCAGACATTCACCATTATATGATGAATCATTAGAACTAGATGTTTATAGTTCGTTAAAAAGTTGGAAGAGATAGAAGGAAACAGTGGAACAGGAATCTGAAAATTTTGTGTTTCCCTTCACCAATGTCAGCAAAATCATCCTAATTTCAACTGTTTGGTATAGCCTCATTCACACATGGTGATCTTTGAGAATGAACGCCTAGCAGTAAAAGACAATTCTCTTTCAGGATTAACCACACAAGCCCAAGTATATTTCTCAACAGTGTGCCCCCCACCTCCAGGCATGCACGAATGTGAGGAAGGCTGAGGATTAGCACTCTGTGGGAGTTTGACCTATTCAGCCAAAAGGTCAACTTGCCATAGAAGAACCCATTACAAGCAGATAGAGGACAGCTCAGTGGACAGACATAATAAAAGGGGAAATGTCATGAGCCTACTTGCCTTGTGCCCTGCTTTGCCCTTTTCCTTCCCAGCCCTCCCCTATGCCCTACTCTCACCAGCATGGTTCAGTGTAGAAGGGGAAGCCACAGTAATGAACCATAATGGTGCTGACTACTGAAGGGATCAAAAATATTCCACAGTAAAGGTGAGTATGAAACTATAAGGTTGTATGGCACTTTGGTAGATAAAGTCTCTCATCTCAGAAATATTTTCTTAATCTCTTCCAGGGATGTCAGGATAGCATGCAAGGTTAATAATCTTAAAGTTCTTCTGGTAGGATCTCAAAAATGGGACCATTCACTTTGTAAGCAGCAAGCTTCCAGAAGCAAGTATCTCTAATGTCTGTCCTGTGAATCCTTCACCCAGGGAACAAGCCTCTGTTCCCACACTGAGTTTGGGGGAAAAGAGGACCAAAGGGCATCCTTAATGGAATCCACAGACATCACTCACTGGGCTTTAGTGCTTGGGCTAAGCAAAGTCAG